CTTTCACTACGACATCCGGGTCATCCTCTTGCAGCCCATTCTCGGGGATGAGGCTCCATGTCTCCTCCCAGCTCTGCAGCCTGGAGTGGGGGGCGAGGGTTGGCCGAGGCTGCAGGGCCTCCGCTCCACCTCCAGGGGGCTCCTCCGGGAGGGCGCCCCAGACGGCAAGGGGTGCCCGCTTCCAAGATGGACAGCCCTCCTCCAAGCTGTGGGAACGGCCGGGCCATTCTGACCTCGTACCAGAAATAGCCAGGACCCCCCCACCTCACTCCTTTCCTCCCCAGGCCCCCAGCCGGACCGCCCCCGGGCCCCCAGCCAAACCACAGTGTCCGGCAGCTAGGGCCTCTCCCTTATTGCACAATCCCGGGAAGGAGGACAGCGAGGTTGGGGGGTCTTAGAGACTGACAGAGATTTAGGGAATATGAGGACATAAGGGTTAGGGAAGCTCACCTGTCGGAGACCTGCCCGCTTCTTCCTGGCTGAGTCAGCGTCACGTCCAGGGAACCCTGGAGAGAAAAGAAGTCCTCAGGATGGGAGATCTCCCTAGGTGATGTCCTTGGCTTCTGCCCCCTGGGGACTGCATGGCTCTGGACACGGAAGGAGTGAGGGAGCAGCCCGCCGGTCGCGCCTGAGGCGGACCCTTGGTCGAGCTCCACCGAAGTTGCAGCAGAGAAGCCAAGGGGCATGCCTTGTCTGTTAACTTGGGAGGCGCGCTCAGATGCGGTGCAGGGTGGAAAGAGCGCTGTGCGGAATTTGGGAGACCCGAGTTCTAGTAGCAGCTTGGACCATGCTCGCAACAAAGTCCCCTCCCGGCTCTGGGCTTTCCTTCGAAAGGGGAGAGAGTTGGCAGGAGCCTGGACAAAAAGCATTGACCTCCTAGTTTTCGCTTTATCTACTGTGAGACTCAGGAGTGAACAGGATAGAGACCCTGCCCCTCTGCACAAGTTTGTGAAAGGGAGGTCTGGCTGAAAAGCAGCATACAGCCCCAGACCAGGTGTGGCTGGGGCATTGTGTCTGCCTATTTCATCCAGCTTAAGTCCCATCCACCAGGGTCCGAGAGAGGCTGGCGTCCCAACCGACGGCAGAGCCAGTCAAGAACTATGCCATCTTCCCATGGCGTCTGGACTGCTGGAGTCAAGAGAGAAGGGATGGGGGAGGGAGGCCGGGGACACCTGTCCCCACGCTCCAGGGAGGGGGGGTTGGAAGTGGAGCACGAGGGAGGCAATGGCATGATTGACAGAACAAACCATGCCCGGGCTGGAAGTGTGGGGACGCTGGGGTCTTGCTGCTTCCCTGAGAATGTGTTCGTTTAGTTTCTGGAGCAGGGCTCTCAGAGGCACCACGGAGGGGGGGGGGGGCAGGTACTGACCACCCTTTTAGACCAAACTCCCCCAGTCCCAGTCCCTTGCTCCCCGCCCTTCTCTCCTCTATATTTATCTGCCCTCTGCCTCGCCAGGTGCTGGCTCGGGCCCCAGCAGCGGCGCAGCCCGCCCCACCCGGGCACTGAGCCACCAAGGCCTGCTGGGGACCCCTGAGCCCGGGCGGGGGATGGGAGCCTGACCTGGCCCAGTGTGCCGTGTGCAGGGGCCCCAGCGGGCGGGGCAGGGTAGGGAGGGTTCCCGCACCGACTATGCCTCAGTTTCTCCCACAAACAGAGCTGAGAGAGCCAGGCAGTCCGGGCCTGTGGCCCACATGCCTACAGGGATTCCCCAAGAGCCTCACCGGGGAAGGCTGAGCATTCTGTCCTGCGTGGCAGGGCAATGGCGAAGGGTCTTCAAAGAGCCGTGATCCCCCGTTCCGTTTCTGTGGGGCCCCTGCCACAGATCCCAGTCCCAGGACGCCTTCTCCCCCTCGCCCGGGTCCCTGTGGCGGGAGCTCCGGCATCTGGCCCCAACACTCACAAACTGGGAGCCCAGAGGACCCAGGCGTTCGAGCCGCCTAGCCGGCCTCGCCGCATTCCTTGGCGCTGGCGGAGGCGGAAGGAGACGGGATGGGACGCAAGCCCGAAGGGGAAGGGAGAGGCAGGGCCAGGTCGGGCCACGCGTGACGCCTCCCCTGCCTCAGGGCCCCCAGCAGGTGGACAGCGCCCAGCGTGCTGCACGAGGCCCACAGGCACATCCCGAGCAGGGCTGCTACTCCCGCTCCTGGGGGGAGGGGGGCGGAGGGACTGGGCCCCCCCCCCCGCTGGCCCCTAGGCAAGAATCTCCCTCCACGTCCCCAGTTTGCCAAAAGCTGGAGTCTGGAGCTGGATCAGGCGTGACGGCCGCTGGTAGCGAGAGAGAGCCACGCCAGACGCCAGATCCCCCCTCCACCGCCACCCCCTACTCACCCGTCGCCCCGACTTACCCTCCCGCCACCCGCCGGACTCGGGGTCCGCAGCTCAAAGGTCTCTTCGTCGTCCTCGTCGTCCCCGTCCCCGCTAAGCTCGCCGTCTCCGTAGTCTCGGTGCAGAAGAGTGAAGCCTCGACGGCAGCAGAGAAGCCACCACAATCCCCCGGGGAGAGGCATCCGGGCCAGGGGAGGGGGCTCCGACAGCCCTGGCGGAGCAGCAGGGGGTCGGAGAAACTGGCGGGGCTTCGACCTGAGTCGGTGGAGGGGGTATATGAGGCGGGAGAAAGTGGAGGGGGGAGCTGAGAGGCGGTCTGAGAGGAGGCGGTGTCCACCGCTGGGGTGCAAGGGGCCGCTGGCTAGAGCCTGAGGGGGAGGGGGGACTTAATGTCTGGGCCCCCGAGGGGGGAGGGGGAAAGGCGTCCCAGAGCCTGGCGGTGGGGTGGGGGGGAGGCGGGGAGGACAGAGCAATGTCCGGAGCTGGGAAGTAGTGTCCGTTGTAGTGTCCAGCCCTGCGGGGGGCAGTGTCCGGTGCAGTGTCCGAGGTGGGCAGTTGTCCAAGCTCCAGGGAGGGTCGTGTCCGGTAGGGCGTCCGGTGGCCGGGGCCCGGGCCGCGCGCGCTGCGCTCCCTGCAGCCCGGGGACTGGCGCGCTGGGGGCGCGAGAGCGCAGCGCTGGGACCCCGCCTCCCCAGCCCCCTCCTCCGGGCACCCCCTCCCTCCTCGTCGGTTCCCTCTGCTTTCTCTCCGCCCTTCTTTTACAGGGCAGGGTCCAGGTTTCGTCACAGCCTCCTCTGCCCAATCCCGGTGCCTGGCGCCGGGCGCGGCCGCCAATCACAAGGCTGAAACCGCGGCGGGTTGCATCATGTGCCCCTGGCTGGATGACAGCGGAGAGGGGCGGGGGATCGGGCGGAGGGGCGGGGCGACGGTGGCCACGCCCCGGCCTCGGAGGTCGGACGCGGGGTGCCAGTGGCGTCACGGGAGCCCGCCCTCCCGCCTCGCTTTAACTCCTGGTTCGCCCGGGCGCGGATTAACCCTTTCGAGGAGCTTGGGAGAACGAGGCGGGCACGCGCCCTCGTCTCTCCGTGGGGTGTCTGGGAAAGGGGGAGCGCCTCAGCCGCCTAGAAGGTGGCCAGACCTGCGCGGGACACAGCTCTGCCCCTCGAGTTCCACGTGCTGGGAGAGGGGAAGAGGCTGAGGCAGCGACTCCAGGGAGGCGCGGATCTAGGCGGGAAATAAAATCGAACTTGGAGCGCGCATCTCTCAGAGCACACGTAGGGAGTGGCTTGGAATTCTGGGGAGTTTCTTTTGGCCTGGGACTAGAGTGGAGGTTAAGAGCCTGCGCCTCTGGGTAAGACAGGGTTAATGGAGGCGCTAGCCGACCGGGGCGGAGTCGGGGCGCCGGGGTGTGGGGGGGCGCCTTGCTGACTCAGCGGCGATTCCCCAGGTCCCGGGCGGAGGGTGCCAGGTCGGCCCCCAGAGGATGGGGTGCGAGCTCGCCGCCTTCTCCCGGCCCCTCGAGGCCGTGGCTCGGCGTCTCAGCCGCCGCAGACTCCGGTGGCCCGCACGGCTAGCTTCGGGCCAGGCGGGGCGCGACAGGGCGGGGACTTGAGGCCAGCGCCTCCCTGGAGACCTCCTCTCCACGCCACACCCTTCTCGCCCCCTCGCCTCGAGGCTGGAGTGGCGGGGACAGCTTTGCTCGCCGGATGTTAAACCGCGAGACTTGTCGCACGTGAACGCCATCCTGCCCGTTGGCATGGTGTTAAGACAAAGACCCGGGATCAAGGCGACCCTCCCGGCGGTGCCCTCGTCCCTAAAGAGGGGAGCTTGTACTGAGATCTCCTGGGGATGGAGACGCCACGATCACAGGCTCCTTGCCCTGCCTGAATCCCGGGAGGGAAGTTCTTCTCTGTCGTCTCCCCGGTGAACACACAGCGCCTTTCCCCCCACTGAATCCTGTGGGAAAGTGGAGGCGCCTGCGCGCGCGCGCGCACACACACACACACACACACACACACACACACACACACTTCACGCCTGTACTCTGCCCTGGGGAAATTTGCAAATTGCAATTCTCTGCTTGCTTTTTTCCCCCCCAGGTGAAAGACTCTTGACTCAAGCTTAAGCATGACTTTTTGCTCTGCAGCCCAGAACTTCAGGAGCGATCCTAAAGTGGTAATTAATCCAAACGCCCACCCCAAACAGGAATCTCCTGCCCCATCACGACGCCCACACCTGACGCACGCACACGGACTTGGGGCAGCCGGTGGGCTCGCTGCTTGCTAAGACGGCCATGATCGGACAGGGCTTAGAGCCGCTGGCGAGCTCTTCCTAAGGTTTCCAAAGGAGGCCGCCCCAGGTGGCGGCGGGGGGTGGGCAGGAGCATGTCAAAGCCCATAGCCTCTCACCCTCACCCGGCTCTAGAGCCCGCCGCTGGGAGCAGGCAGGGGGCAGGGAGGGCGAAACCCACCTGCTAGAACCCCCGCTGCAAATTGCTTCGAAGTCAGTGACTCAAAAATAGTAACACTTGATGGGCTGCATCTCATTTCCATGCTATCAATTTTAATGTGAGGCAAAGGCGCAGAAGCAGCCATCCCTTTGGGTCCCAGCCTTTCTTAAGGTGCCCCTCCCCCGATCTTTCCCTCCGATCCCTACCCCGCCCCCTCCTTTGCATTTGAGGCTTTAATGGTCCCAGGAGAGACTGTGGGTCTCTGTGGGGGCCGAGCAGGAAGAAAGGCGGGGCCGGCGCGGGCAGCGGCGGCGGCCTGGGGATCTGGGGCTGCAACCCCCACCCCGAAGTAGCCTTCTCAGGTCCTGGCGGAAGCGCAGGCCCAAAAAGGCATAGAGCACGGGATTGAGGCCGCAGCGGGCCAAGGCCAGGCCTCCCGTCACCAACAGCGCTAGATCCTTGCGCTTGCTGGCAGGGCAGGTCCGCTCACGGGCTGCCAGGAGGTCGGCTGTGTCCAGTAGTAGGGCAAGACTGTAGGGCAGCTGCAGCACCACGAAGGCGGCCACCAGGGCCACCACGACGCGCAGCGCGCGCCGGCGCTCGGGCCCCCTGGCGGCCAGCAACGTGCGGCCCAGGAGCGCGTAGCAAGCGGCCATGACGGCCAGCGGTAGCGCGAAGCCGAGCACCACCTGCGCCACGGCGCTGGCTCCCTTCACCGTCTGCGCGAGGCCCTCGGGGAAGATGAGGCGGCAGCGCCGCAGGCCTTCACGCTGCCCGTCCTGGCTGAAGAGGAGCGCGGGTAGCGCCAGCAACAGCGACAGCAGCCACACGAGGACGGAGACCAAGTGCGCACGGCCTGGAGTGGCGGGTCGGGGTCCTGCTGGAAGCGCCCGTGCGATGGCCACATAGCGATCCGCGCTGATACACGCTAAGAAGAGGAAGCCAGCGTGGAAGGAGGCCGAGTACAGGCCGGAGATGGCGCGGCAGGTAGTGCTTCCAAGATTCCAGCCCTGAAGAACCCCTACAGCAGCGAATGGCAGGGTCAGGGCCAGAAGGAGGTCGGCCAGGGCCAGTTGCAGCAGGTGGGCAGCGGTGGGCGAGCGGGCAGTGCGTCGGGCAGCCAGGTGGGTAGCCAGGACCAGGCCGTTGCCAGCCAGACCTAGCGCAGCCACGGTCAGCGAGACGCTGGGTTGAAAGGTCCGACTGAAGGCCTGGACATCCGCCTTGTGGCAAATCTCTGGCAGCGGTTCTGCAGAGTAAGCTTCGTCATCCTCTCCAGAATAGGGGCCCCAGGAAACCTGGAGAGGCGAAAGGAAGAGGAGGGGCGTTAGAAAAACTCTTAACACACCTCCTCTTTTACCTGCATGTGTGTCTGCCCCACTTGGCCTGATGTGACAGAGGCCCCCCGGGGTAACACACAAACCTAGGGACCCTTGATGCTGCTCTGCAAATAGGTCTGGGCTTCCTTCAACTCCTGCTGCTTTCAGATCCCTGGGTGACCTTGAACTTTTCTGAACCTCAGTTACCCAGTAAGTGATGTCCCCTTGACAAGTCCTGGCCACGCTGGCTGCAGGGTTGGTGACATATGGAAGATGATGGAAGGGAAACACCTGTGTTTTCCACCGGCCACTGGCTTGCAGTACTGATACAGGCTGCAGCTCTGGGTCCCTCGGCAGCGCCCTCTCTTGGACAGACGCACAGATGTAGCCTTGGCCGCAGGTCTGGACCCTGAGCTGGAAGCTTTGTCTAGACTGGCTTCCTGTTCCCTTTCCCTTCTTTCTCCATCCTCCAGTGCACACACTCTCAACCACTCGTGCCCTCCCTGGAGGGGGTTGTGGGTGGCAGCCTTAAAATTCCTTGCGGACCTGGGGCCGCATGGTTCAAGCCGCTCTTCCCCCTCAGCGCCAGCTCTCCAACCTCAGCCTCACCCCACCAGCCCGTCCACCCAGGAGGGCGGCAGGCAGAGGTCATTCCAGGCTACCCAAAACCTGCAGCCAGGTGGGGAGGCCCAGCCCTCCCCCCTACCGCTCCCCGCCCCCAACAGCCCTTCTCCCCCGGCCCTGCCCCCACTCCCACCTGCTCTGTGGGCTGCGTCCCCATCTCTGGCTACAAGGGTTTCTGAGGTGTAGCCGCAGGGGCTAGAAGTTAAATAACTCGTGGGACAGGAAGGAAGGGGCGGGGAGAGGGGCTAGGAGGGAGGTGAGGATTTGGGTCCGTGGGCTCAACTTCCATTTTCTACTACCCCTAGAAGATGGCCTCTTTTCTCTGCATTTTTTTTTCTTTTGTTGTTGAAGAAAAAAATGCTGTGCCAGTTAGTGGTGGGGTCTTGAACCGGGCTATGAGCTGAGAGCCTCAGGTTTTTCACCTGCAGAGTGGAGTAAGGTGACAATGCTGAATTCACCATGTGCTCCCCCGACTCCAGGCCTCTGCCTCCTTTTCCCTCGGTTTTTCAGGTTCCTCTGGCACCCTTGCCTCCCCGCTAGGCCACCCCTGCGGCTTCTGAAGCTGCCAGGCTGTGGGTGCTGGGGTATTTCCCTGGTGGCTGGAGGCGCGCTCTACCCCCGCCCTTTCGTGGAGCGCGAGGCTGTGGCACGCGCTTGCGCGGGGCCCGGGAAAACGCGCGTGCCAGGAGAGCGAGGCTGGAGGAGGGGGGGAGGTGAGAGCAGAGAGGGTGGAAAGGAGAGGAGAGAGGAGACCGGGAAACGGAGAGAGGAGGGAGGAAGAGATAGGTGGGGGAGACAGCAGAAAGGCAGGGTGGGAGAGGTGGGCCAGGAGGAAGAAGCGCGGGTCGCTGCAAGCCCCAGCAGCCTGGAGGCTGAGTCCGCTGCGGAGCCCTAGCTGGAGTGGGGCTCTGGGAACCGGCTGCCCTGCACGATGCAGCCCAGGATCCTCTGCATCCTGCTTGCCGCCGTTTCAGGAGCTCAAGGCTGGGGCTACTGTGAGTGCCGCGCTCGGAGGCGGGCGGGGTCCGGCTGAGATACCCAGAGCCGGCAGGGCGGGTCCATGCGCCGCATTGCGGCTGGGTGGTCGCTGCTGCTTCCCGGGCTCTTGGCGCGCCGGCTCACTCCCATCTTCTCCTTGCTCTCCCCCGCGCTCCGCATTGCAGCTCCGAGGCTGCTGCGCACATGCTACAGGGCTGGGGCTAGAGCTGGGCTCCGTCAGGGCCGGGATTTGGGGCGGATATCCAAACCCAAGCTAGTGCCTGGATTTGAGACTCGGGCTGAGCCTAGGATGATCTGGGCTGGGGATGTTGCCGGAGGATGGGGCTGGACTTTGGAGCTGGCCCAGGGACTGGGGTTTGAGGCTGGGATCCAAGCAGTAGTGGGTGACCCTGACCTAGAGGGTGCTGCTACTGCTGGGGCTTGGGGAGCTAGTAGCAGTGGGTGCTGGCAAAGTCTTACATCTGGGGTTCAGGTTTGTGGGGAGCTTAAGGCTGGGGCTGCCTGGGTGTCTTGGGCTGGTTTGGATGCTGGGAGCTGCTACGGTTTAGGACTGTGTTGGGGGTGGGTGATGAATCAGGGCAGCTACTGGGCACCAGGCCCACAGGTTCCCCTCTGGCAGGAAAGGGAGCGTCCCTTGGGTGTGCAGCTGTTGCCGCGCTCCCTGCTGGGAGATGGGGCTGGGTCTTGCGGCAGCGGACGCAAGGTGGTGGTGGTGGTTGGAAGGGAGCGGGCAGACCCAGGTGTCAGTGGTACTGGCACTGACTGGCTGGCTTGCTCTCCCAACCCAGATGGCTGCGACGAGGAGCTGGTGGGGCCCCTGTATGCACGCTCTCTGGGTGCCTCCTCCTACTACGGGCTCTTCACGGCGCCACGCTTCGCCCGTCTGCACGGTGAGCACGCCACCGCGTGGTCATGCAAGGGACTCCCCGGGGCTGGGGTGGGGGGAGAGCGCGCATTGATATCCCTAACCCTTGTGTAGGTATAAGTGGATGGTCACCCCGGATTGGGGACCCGAATCCCTGGCTCCAGATAGACCTCATGAAGAAGCACCGGATCCGAGCCGTGGCCACGCAGGGTTCCTTTAATTCTTGGGACTGGGTCACACGTTACATGCTGCTCTATGGCGACCGCGTGGACAGCTGGACACCCTTCTACCAGCAAGGGCACAACGCGGTACTCCTAGCGCCCAGGCGCACACACCTGGAGAGCCTTCTCTGCTCTGGGCTCAGGGCTGGGTAACCCCTTCAAGGAAGAGAACAGGGTGGCAGTGAGGGTCCAGGAGAGGAACCTTAGAGCTGCCGGTTCTCTGTGTGGGCAAGACTCTTTCAGATCTCCGGGTTTCCATACACACACAGGTGGTGTGAAATCCCAGGGGGCTCCTGGAGGAGGTGGCATGCACCTGGACTTTTGTGGAAAGAATATGCTGGCGGGAGGGGGCACACTCCAGGCTAGGGAAACTGCACTGGCACTACTTCTGCCGCCGCTGCTGCCACCATGGTCACTGCTGAGCTACCAAGGCGGGGGACCATCCCGCAGGGTTTGCTTTGGAAGCCGATGGGCTGGGAGGCTTAGAGAAAGGCAAAAGAAGATGCAGGGGAGGTTTTAACTCATTTTGCCTCCACCCCACAGACCTTCTTCGGCAACGTGAATGAGTCCGCAGTGGTGCGCCACGACCTCCACTATCACTTCACAGCGCGCTACATCCGCATCGTGCCGCTTGCCTGGAACCCTCGTGGCAAGATCGGCCTGAGGCTGGGTCTCTACGGCTGCCCATACAGTAAGGGCGCGGAGGGCGCGGAGGGCGCGGAGGGCGCGGAGCGAGCGGCGGCACGGTGTGTGTGCGCGTGTGTATGCATGCGTAGGCGGGCTGCCCATACGGTAACGGCTCAGAGGCACGGTGTGTGTGCGCGCGCGTGCGCAGGGGAGATGTGTGGCTACCGCCAGCCTGGGCTCGCCAGCTGTCTTTTCGCTTTCTACACAGAGTCCGACGTACTGTATTTCGATGGTGACGATGCCATCTCTTACCGCTTCCCGCGAGGGGTCAGCCGAAGCCTGTGGGATGTGTTCGCGTTCAGCTTCAAGACAGAGGAGAAGGACGGGCTCCTATTGCACGCCGAGGGCGCCCAGGGGGACTATGTCACGCTGGAGCTGCAGGGCGCACACCTGCTGCTACACATGAGCCTGGGTGAGCGACCCGGGTGGCCCAACCCAGAGTCGCTGCTATTCCGCTTGCCGTTGTGCGGGAACCTAGCCATTCCTTTTCTGGCTGGCCGGGCCGTCCACCTTTGGCTAGGGAAACGGTGTCATTTGGTGTCAGGATTTGGTGTCAGCAGAGCCCTGGCCTCTGCCAGGAGGGCTGAGTTGTGAGCTCGGGTAAAGCCCTGCTTCAGCCTCACGGCAAACTCATGGAGAATCGTTGTGATCGGTTGTCTCCTGAGCTTGTCACCTGATGTGAGAGAAGCGGCTTTCAGCCTAAGGTTTTATAGTTAGGATAGCAGAAGTTTGCCCCAGTCAGCGGCCCCAGGGCACTGGGTGTGGCTCTGGGTCCTGCACCTGCTGGCGGGAGGGCTCACTCGGCCCCGCCCCCCACCCAGGCAGTAGCCCCATCCAGCCCAGGCCCGGGCACACGACGGTGAGCGCCGGTGGCGTCCTCAACGACCAACATTGGCACTACGTGCGCGTGGACCGCTTTGGCCGCAATGCCAATCTCACCCTGGACGGCTACGTGCAGCGCTTCGTGCTCAATGGCGACTTCGAAATGCTGAACTTGGACACGGAGGTGAGGCCGCCACAGGGAAGTGCTAGAGGCCAGTGCATGCGGGCTTGGGTGGAGCAGCGTGGGTTGTGGGGGATGCCTGTCTCCCTCCTGCGGCTGAAAAGTTTGCTTTACCGCTCCGAAATTTCGAAGCTGTCCGCGGCAGAGCGTCAGATCCTCCGCAAGATACGGGCCGCTGCGGAGGCCGCGGCTCGCTGTTAGCATGCCTGTGCCCGGGGTGCCCACCACCCCGAAACTTCTGGGATGCAGTCTGGGAATCAATCAAGGGAGGAAGCGTGTTCACTTGGTTCTTCCCACAACCATGCGGAAGGGGCCAACACCACCCCATCCCATCTGCAAAGCAAGAATCCCAAATGGGTTCGTTGTCTGTGGGGTCCTGCGTGCTTGGAGCCTGGCTTGGTGTGTGGGAACGTGCAGGGCGGGACAGACAGCCTCCCCATCAGCCTCCTCCCCCCGCAGATGTTCATCGGGGGCCTGGTGGGTGCCACACAGAAAAACCTCGCATACCGGCACAACTTTCGCGGCTGCATGGAGAACGTCATCTTCAACCGAGTCAACATCGCAGACCTGGCCGTGCGGCGCCATTCGCGGATCACCTTTGAGGCTAGTGGTGCGGGGGCACTGGGAGGGTGGAACCCCGGAGCCACTGGCCAGGCAGAGCTGGGGCGGAACACCCCTCCTTCGCCAGCCGCCAGATTCTCAAGTGTGTGTGTGGGAACGGGGGCAATAATCCCGCAAGGCACATGGGTCAGCCTCCACCCCCACCCCGTGGTGCTTCACCAACCCATGTGAAATGGTACTGCCGGGCCAAGGCGAGCTCGGGGTTGACGCTGCCTCGTCTCGCCCCTAGGGTAAGGTGGCGTTCCGTTGCTTGGACCCCGTGCCGCACCCCATCAACTTTGGAGGTCCGCACAACTTTGTGCAAGTGCCTGGGTTCCCGCGGCGCGGCCGCCTTGCTGTCTCCTTTCGCTTCCGCACGTGGGACCTCACGGGGCTTCTCCTCTTCTCCCGCCTGGGTGACGGCCTGGGCCACGTGGAACTGATGCTTAGCGAAGGACAGGTCAACGTTTCAGTGGCGCAGAGTGGCCGCAAGAAGCTGCAGTTCGCTGCCGGTGAGGGCTCAAGAAAGACTGTGGAGCTCAGGCAGGGGAGCGAGGCCGGGGCTTGCTGGCGCGGGGAGGGAGTGGCTGGAGGCAGTTCTGAGAAGCTGGGAGGCCTAGAGTTGTCTGGCAGCCATTCTGACTCTGCAGGGTCACCTGCTGGGGTCACACAGAGAGAAATAGGACTTTCAGAGTTGTCCTAAGTAGCAGGGGAGGCGGCACAGCGGGGGACACACTCCTGCTTCCTCTCTCCCTCTCCTTCCTCCTCCCGCCTCCCCTGAG